ATATACTCAGCATATAACTCTATAGTGTAACTCCTGGGTATTTACATTAGAGAAAAAAAGTTTATCTTCTTACAGAAACGTGAATGTATAGCTGTTCTGTTCGTAACTGAGGAACCCTGGTTGCACAGTGGTTAAAGAACTCAGCTGCTAACCAAAAGTTTGGTGGTTCAAATTCACTAGCCACTCTACTGGAGGAAAGTGTGACAGTCTAGGAGTTTTTACAGCCTTGGAAATCCTAGGGTAGTTCCACTCTGTCCTATAGGGTTGTCCTGAGTAAGAATCAACTAGGTGACAGTGGGTTTGCTTTTGGTTTTAGTATTCATGACTGTCAAAACTGGAAACAACCTCTATGTTCCTCAGCAGGTGAGTGAATAAACAAACTGGTACATCCATGCAGTGGACACTCAATAACACAAACGAGTGAACTGTTGATGTACACAACAATTTGAGGGAATCTCAGAGGTATTATACAACAGAAAGAAGCCAGTCTCAAAAGGTTACATATTGCCTAATTCTGTTTATTACATTCTGGAAGACAACAACATAGTGATGAGAAACAGACAGTGGTTGACAAGGACTCGGGATCTGGGGGTTGTAAAACATAAAGGGAAATAGCACAAAGGAATGTTTTGGTGGAGCTGTTGTATATTTTGATTTTGATGGTAGTTATACAGATCTAACTATAAATGTTCCAGAATTCATGAAACTGCACACCAAAGGGAAAAAGTCATTTTTACTGTAATTTTAATTCAAATTTTTTTAAAGTTTTATGAATATAACAAATATATATTCTTCTTGTAGTGTACTTGTCAAGTTGTATCTGTTCAGGATAACCCTAGGTGCTTACCTTTGTATTTCCAATCTAAATATACCGTCACATTTTTACCCTCGACCTTCTGAGTCTCCTTAGGTGTGCTCCTAGCTGCCTTGTTCCTTTTTTAGATTCTGTGGTGGATTTCCTACCCATTACTATCTCTAGGCTGTTTCCTGAGTGTCTAAAATATGCTGCCAGGTGGGACCAGTGAGGTGTCCATGTGCACATGCTCAGTCGTCAGCATGTCCCTGGGCTGCCAGGAGACCTCTTCAGCTGTCCTTAGTCTCCCACATGATCTGACCTGGTCCTGGTCCACAGCTCCCTGCTTGGTTTCATGCCTCATTGGCATTTCAATGAAGGAATTCTTCTTAAAGGCTATAGAAAATCTCAAAGTGTCACTGCTTGAATGCACATACTAATTGTAGTGCCTGTGCCACACTGCCCAGTGGGAGTTGCAAATAACCTTTATGAAGTCAGGTTTTTTTGGAACCATTCTCAGGTGGCTATTTTCTTCCAGAGGATTTGTGTTATTAAGCTATTAGAGTGGACAATGGAGGCACGTGAGCGGCCTGGTGGTAGCAGGCTGCTCTGTTGGGACATGGGATAAAGTGCCATAAACTTCTTCCTTAATTGTATCTGCTTTGGCTCAAGCTCCTTCGAGGGTAATGGGTTCTAGACAGCTATTGTGTGCTGGGCGCCAGTTGCTGTGGAAAGGTTGTTTGTTTCACGAGGAGAAAAATCTATGCTCAAATTAGATACATTGCAGTGTAATTGAAGGAAATGTCCGTTTAGTCACTTATATGTTATACTGTGCAGTACTTGGACTCTTGTCTTCATGCTGCCCTGGCAGTTTTATTGATCAACAAAACACAAAGGTGGCTTTTGATTCTTTCCAGATGCTGGCAAATTAGAAGAGAGATCTGCTGAAGATTATTTTGTCGCTAAGGAGATGACTGGCTTCTTGAGTATTATCTTTCCTCGAGGCCCATTTCTCTCCCAACTTTAGAGTTGAAAATTCTCTAGTTTCTAAAAACAATATACTTTGGACATATTGTCAGGAGGGACCAGTCTCTGGAGAAGGATATCGTGTTTGGTAAGGTGGAGGGTCAGAGAAAAAGAGGAAGACCCCCAACAAGATGGATTGGCCAAGTGGCAGCATCACTGCACTCAAGCATGGCAACAGTGGTGATGTTGGCCCAGAATTAGGCAGTGTTTCGTTCTGCTGTGCATAAGGTCACTATGGGTCGGTACTGACTCAGTGGCACCTAACAACAACAACAAAGGCTTCTTTGTTGTCATTACTGAGCATGCCAAAGATGACCACTGGAGAAACTGATTTACCTCTCATTTCTCAGTTTCTCTTACTCTCTTAGATTCTTAGAGAGGACATAGTGGATATAAACCAAACCAAAAACCAGACGCACTGCCGTTGAGTTGATTCCAACTTTTAGCATTTGTACAGGACTGGATAGAAGTGCCCACAGTGTTTCCAAGGCTGAATGTAAATCTTACAAAGGCAGACTGCCACACAGCTCTCCCTTAGAGCAGCTGGCTGGTGGGTTTGAACTGCTAACCAATTGGTTAGCAGCCTTGCACTCAATCAGTGTGCCACCAAGGCTCCTTGGGAAAGGATATGTTGTTGTTGTTGTTAAGTTCTGTCGAGTCACTTCCAACTCATAGCGACCCAGTATAGGGTTTCTAAGGAGCGGCTTGTAAGTTTGAACCACCGACTCTACAGTTCAAACCTTGATCTTGCAGTTCAGTGCATTATCGTACAGCGCCACACCAGGACTCTAAGGAGATGATATAGGGAGATTAATTCCACTGTCATTGTTAGGCAGAGCTGCTTGTATCTTAGATTCTATTTTAAAGACTTCAAAGGAAGGAGCACTTTATGGCACTTTGGTAGCCGCTGTAGCAGTTCCTGCATTTTAGTTATTCCTAACAGAATGGTCCTTTACTGCTAATTTCTTTTGTCAAAAATGAAAACCCATTTACCTATTTTTCATGTTGAAATCTTCTATGTATTTAAAATAGTTAAGTTCAGACTTTTTTTTCCCCCTCAGAGAAAGGATTTACATTCACTTCACAATTCTTGAACAAAAAGAACCTGTTTTGTGAATTCACATAATTTTTCTTTCTTTCTTTGACTGTCTCTCAGTTTAATTTTCATTCAAGTTGTAGAGCCCCAAATTAAATTCATTTCAGAAAGGATTTTCTCTGGGGGCACAGGGTGTCAAGGTGTGGATGTTAAGGCCTTGGTCCACAAAAAGGCATATGATAGAGTCAGTTCTGACTCACGGGGACATTACAGAACAGAGGAGAACTGCCCCATAGGCTTTGACGGCTACGAAGCTTTACAGAAGCAGACAGCCTCATCTTTCTCCCACAGAGTGGCTGCTGGGTTTGAAACATTGGCTTTTAAGTTAGCAACCCAGTGCTTAACCAAATGTGCCACCAGGGCCTCTCCTTACTTTGTGGTGTTGGTTGTATGCTGTGGAATCAATTCCAACTCATAGTGACCCTGTACAGGGTTTTCAAGGCTGTAAATCTTTACAGGAGCAGAAAGCTTCATCTTTCTCCTGCGGAGCAGCTGGAGGGTTCTAACTGTTGACCTTATGGTTAGTAGCCCAATTTGTCACCCACTGCATTATGAGGGCTCTTTTATTTCTTCGTGTTGTTAGGTGCCATCGAGTTGGGACTGACTCTTAGCAACCTTAAGCACAACAGAATGAAACACTGCCTGGTCCTGTGCCAACCTCACAATCATTGCTGCACCTGAACCCATTGCTTCTGCCCCTATATTGATCTATCTCATTGGGGGTCTTCCTCTTTTTCTCTGATCCTCTGCTTTACCAAACATGATATCCTTCTCAAGGGACTGAGCCCTCCTGATACTATGTCTGAAGTATGATAGATGAAGTCTGGCCATCCTGGTTGTACTTCTTCCAACACAATTTTCTTTGTTCTTTTGGCAGTCCATGGTACTTTTAATATTTTCCTCCAACACCATAACTCAGATGCATCAATTCTTCTGTGGTTGTCTCTATTCATTGTCCAACTTCCAACATGCATATGAGGTTATTGAAAATACCATGGCTTGGGTCAGGCACACCTTAGTCTTCTTTCAGTCTTTGCTCTTGAACACTTTGAAGAATGTTATTTCTTAGGAGGGAGTTTATTTAGTTGATTTATGTCAAGAAAAGTGTTATCACTTATGTTCTTAATATAAATTATTTTATTCCTAGATTCTGTTTTTAATGCTAGGGAAGAATGAAGCAGGCAGTCAGTGCTTTTTCTTCTATGACAGCCAGGATGACCAAAATACTGCCTGATATAGAGGTTTATGTTGGCAGGAGCTTTCCCCCCAAGTTATGCCATTTGGTGCCACTTGGTGCCCACAACCGCCCGCTGAGGTGAGCAGGTCAGGCACGGTTCCATTTTACAGATGCAGCAGTAGAGGCACAGAGAAGTTACGGACTCATTGGGTTTCATAGGCATAATGAATAATGGAGCTGTGATTTGAATGAAGTCTTCTGGCTCCTAGAATAGTGCCTTTCCCTCCAAACTAGGGTTTCTCAACTCTGCCCAATCCTGTGCTCCCCTCTTTAGAGCTACCCTGAAGTGAAATTCATAGTTAATGTACCAGACACCCAATCATAGGTGCTTTATCTAGGCTGCATACAGCACTTGCACCCTAGTGTGTTAAGCCTCTGGGAGGGGCAGCAGTGCTGGGGTGCTCCTCTCAGCCTGAAGATGTCAGACATCAGGAAGGAGCCCCGATCAGTCCAAGTATGTGACCGGTGCCCCTACTCCATCTCTCTCAGCTGCTGCCCATCTGTGACTTTTCTCAGAACCTAGGAGCACTGCTCAGATAAAGGAAAGGCTGTCCCCCACGTGAGTCCATTGCTTCTTTCCTCAACCTAGTTCCTTGAGAAGTCAACAAATGGCAGAATTACTGAAGCGAGTCTCTTTTTCTCAATACAAGAGTAGCTGGAAGGTGGAGAAGCAAATGACTAAGTGGAATCAATTCACAGGACCCAGGGGCAATTGAAAGCAAGCTGTAAAAATAGTTTCAAATACTCGTAAAAATGTAGGAGGCAGATGCATTATTCCAAAAAGCATATTTGGTTGGAGACGTGCACTGTAGAGCTAAGACTAAAGGATCTTCTTTTGTCTGCTTTAGTGTACACTTGACTCTGAAGTGGCTCTGAGAGTGGGTGGAGAGTTCTTCTTTGACCCTCAGCCCATGGAAGCCTCTAGAAACCTTGTGTTGATTGCTGGAGGAGTAGGAATTAACCCCCTGCTTTCCATTCTGCGGCATGCGGCAGACCTCCACAGAGAGCGAACAAACAAAGGAAGTGGATACGAGATAGGAACAATAAAACTATTCTACAGTGCAAAAAATACCAGCGAACTCCTATTTAAGGTAAGGGAGGTGGAGCATATGTTTCATAGCTTGCTGTAAGCAAATTTGTGAAATGGTATTAATTGTTCACCAAAGTTTCTCATATCAGTCTGTTGTCTCTTCATCACTCGTCATTTCTCTCAACAATGCTTAATCATGTTCAAATGAGGATTAACTATCACATCTTACACAGGACAATGAAACCAGCTAGTGGGGAGTCGGTGTCCAATTAAGTGACAGGATAGGGTAGATTTGGTGGCCTTGGATTTGGGGGGGTGGATGAAAACTCACTATTAGCCCTGAGATTCTGTCAAGAGACCTCCCTGTGGTCTCCTATGCCGCAGGGGTGTGTGAGGTGTAGATAGTTTGCACTCAGCTGGGTAAATGAGACCCCTGTCAGCTGCATCTGCTGAAACGAAGTACACATGATGGAGAAGGCTTTCCCTCTACATTGCTTTGCAGCTGCAAAAACAAGAACAAAAGAACAGAAACAGTTAAAAAGCACAACTGTGGTCAGTGAAACTGCTGCTTAATTACTAATGCTTAAGAACAGAGAAAAAGAAAACTCCCAGAGAGTTTTGTAACATGCTCGTTAGCATATTCAGATTTCACCAACAGCCACATGGCGCTGTGTACTCTGAATGCCCTGGCCTGCCCTCGCAGGCTGCAGGCGTTGTACCCTAAGTAAGGAGCAAGAACGTCAGACGTGTGCAGCTTTGGAGTCGAGGCTCTGCGGTAGTATTTATGCACATCTGTTTTGATTTTTAAAATTGTAGTGTGACCAACTATGTTTGACATTCCAGAAAAATATTCTCGATTTAGTAAATGAATTTCCTGAGAAGATTGCATGCAGTTTGCATGTTACAAAACAGACTACACAAATCACTGCCGAACTCAAGCCATACATCACGGGTGAGTCCCCTCAAAATGTTTTGTCTGTCTGTGCAGTTATGTGGTGGACATGCCAGTTGGTTGAGTTTGGATGCTTTATTGTTGGGAGTTGCTGGCTGGGAATATCACTACCTGGGGAATTGAGAGATGACTCATCCTGGAGAAGTAGAGCTTTAGTGGGACTGCCTGCATTACATACAGGTTTTCTGTTACCCATATTGCAACTTTCCTGTTGTCAGTTTTCAGGAGGCCATTGTGTCATCACTGCAGCATGTGTACAGAGAATGTGTATTCGATCCTTAGCTGAAATTATTCCATTTGCCATTAGTGATAATTTACATTGCTTGTGGTTTCCCCTGTTTTGAAGGATTTTACAAAACCGTTTATTTACTTTGTTGAAGGCAGTTTTGAATCTCTACCAAAGATCAGTAAGCTAGCTGGCTCTCTGAAGAGCCCATTATGATTAACATCCCCCTCGCTTGCCATAGGTTTAGGAAACCTGGGAATGAAGTCTCTGCCTGGGTCTTGACTCTGGGTAACTGGGTGAATACTGAAGACATCCTGTGAGTGGCTCAAGGCTAAAGTCACTAAGCCTTACTTAAATACTCACTGTGGCTAGTCCTTCCTCATGTCAGGATACAAATATGTATGGCTTAATTTGATATTTATTCTGTTTTTTGGTAGAAGGAAGAATAATGGAGAATGAGATAAGAGATCACATTTCAAAAGACACTGTATTCTATTTATGCGGCCCACCTCCAATGACGGACTTCTTCTCCAAGCAACTTGAAAACAGCCATGTTCCCAAAGAACACATTTGCTTTGAGAAGTGGTGGTAGGGAATGGGAAAAGGCAGAAAAGACAAAAGATGTCAAATCCACTACGGACAGTAACATATTATATTAAATTATTGGGGCAAATGGAGGATAAAAGAAAAAGCTAGCTGACAGACTTAAAAGACCAACTTTTTGCAAAGATTGCATTGATTAACCATTTTTTATTCTATTGACTTTATTTTATTAATAACTTTCATTATCTCATGATCTACCATGAATTGGGCAGTATAGATTTTTCTTTTGCCCTTAGGGGTGGAAATCATATACTCATATTCAATCATGTGAAAATGTGGTTTGTGTGTGAAATATAGCCTATCTTTAAATTGTTTAACAGCAAGCCATATATCTTATGTTCAATAAACATATTTTAAACATATTCATAATAGTTTTACTTTCAAAATTCTTTGTATCAAACATCTTAGTTTACCTTAGCGTGACTTCCAGGCTTACTTCTTTGGACCATCAAAGGGGTTTATAAATAGAAAATTGTTAAGAAAACTGGTTTAGAGAATTGAATATCCACCAGTTTGTTTTATTGTTGATGAGTATCCGACTAATTGTTCGTGTCTTCTCAAATGAAACTCTGTGTCTTGGCTGCCTGCCTAGATGCTGCAGAAGGTGTTGTCTTATTTGGGACAAACGTGTTGCTGATGTGTTTGTGTTTAATCTGCCTTCACGGGATGGGCGGGCTGACCGACTGTGGAAATGTACTTAGGACTGATTTGGGGGTGTCAAGCTATTTCTATATCCTACTTCATTTCTTTGCCAGTGGTTGTCCCTGGCACCAACAGCAGTTTAACATGTACACGTATTTGTTGAATGACTGAAAGAAAGCAACTAAAATCTAGCTTCTTACTAAGTCTGGGGTCTTTAGGGTGGGTAAAATATGTAGAGCCTAAACCCAAGGCTAAAGAGCTCTGGTAACATAGTGCTTACGAATCGGGCTGCAAACCGCAAGGTCCCAGTTCGAAACTACCAGCCGCTCCGTGGGAGAAAAATGAGGCTTTCTGATCCCGTAAAGAGTTACAGCCTCGGAAACCCTGTACAGGGTCGCTATGAGTCGGAACCGATTCGATGGCACTTAACAACAACAAACCCAAGGCTGCTTCTATGAAACTAGTGGAAAGCAGACTTCAGTTCTTGTCTGTCTTCATGTAAACCTTTAAAAATGTATGAAGTCCAGCGGGCTGATTGAGGACAGGCCATCCTTTCTGTACTGGTTAGACCCTGACTCAGGCTGCCCACTCAGTGCACTGAGGGTGAGGGCACCTGGGAAGAAGGGAAGACCAGTGCTGGAAACCCAGGAATTCCAGCTGGAGGAGACACTGCTCTTTAGTTGATGAGAAAAGACAGGTTGCCCTTTCTTATCTTTGTTGCTGTAGGCCTTGCAAGGACTTGAGAGTTTTAACAATTGATTAACAGGACCCAAGGATGCTCTGTGGGTTAATGTGCTGGACTGCAAGGTCGCTTTGAACCACAAGGTTGCTGGTTTAGGCTCACGAGTGGCTCCTTGGAAACCCTATAAAGGGTCGCTATGGGTCAGAACTAACTCAGTGGCCCTAAACAACAACAAAGGATGGTTTGCATCACCATTCTAACTTCTCCCCTATTTTGTGTTTTATCAAGTTTCAAACAGAGATCGTATGTCAACTTTCACTTCCAGACTTGACTTCAGTGGGAGGAAGGGGAAGGGCCGTAGACTTGATGGGGCTATCAAAGTCCATTCAAGGAAATGACCTACCGACTGTGCATCCGAGGTGAGTGTGTGAAAGCTCTGGGCTCATCAGTTGGCTCCAAAGAGTCCAGGCTGAGGACGGTGCTTTCAGGCTGAGTAGTCAAGAGGCTTCAGATGTGGGGCTGGGTAGAAAGTGCCCAGCCCTAGGCCTTTGTATTGAGAGTGGAAGTGCAGAGGGAGCATCTTCAGCAGCAGCGTGATGGGAGTGCTGCCCACAGTCCCCTGTCCCTCCACCACCAGCACCTCTGTGCCTGCTGTTGTCACAGAGCTCTCAGCTCTGCCACCCTGCCACTAACTCACCTTCACCATCTGTAAGAGCTGAGATGGATCAGGTGTTGACTTTTGCTTGGAGTCATTCCTCCTAGCTTTCATTCCTGGTGTTAAATGCAGAACAGCATTTTCTGGTTTGGGAGCCAACAGTGTTCCGAAGTTGCCTTTGCTGCCAGGCCATTGAGATCTCTTCAGTACTTAAAATGAGCCTGCTCCAGCCAGGAGGTTTGAGAGTGCAGATAAGAAAGCCCTTGAGCCGGACTGCCTGTGTTCAAATCCCAGCCCTGCAGCTTACGAGGTAGGTGACCTTGAGCAAGTCACTGAACTGCTTCATTCCTCGGTTTGTAATTAACAAGTGTGCACACACACACAGTTGTGTGTCAAATGGGGATAGTGCTACTGTCTACCTGAGGGTGGTCCTGGGAATTCAATGCAATCATACATATAAAATCCTCAGTAGAAGAAGGCACAGAGAAGCACTAACGTGTGTTACTAATTTGCTATCACTTGTCCTATTCAGAAATGACTTCAGTGAAGTAGTTGGGTTAGATTTAATGTATTAAATAGTAATTAGGGTATATAGAGCCTTGTCTTGTTCGGCGCCCTGTCCCCTATGCCTGGCACATTATGGGTACTTAATAAATCTTGGCTAATGTGGGTGAAAGGACCTACGCAGAGCTGATGAGCTGGGTTAAAGGACTCTTTAAAGATCCTCCGGCTCTTTGGGTTTGTGAAAAGTGCTGCTTCTCGTGTCATGAGACTCTTTCACAGCCTACTCAGTTTATCCAGTTGATGAGTCTCTCAAATTGTAAGTGGAAGCATGTGCACCAGTGTTCACCAGAAAACAGCAAACACCTGGCCTTCCCCAAATGGGCTTGCTACAAGGCACGGAGCACCCGTCTCATCCATGGAGTGTTCACAGCTGGGGCAGAGCTCAAGGCTGTTCCCTGGGCCCGGGTTCTGGTCAGTGGCACATCCTTTAAAAACAAAACCTTAACGGAAATTTTTAAACATGCACTAAGAAGATAGTAAAATGAACTCCTGTGTATCCATCACGCAGCTTCAATGGTGACCAACAACCTGCTGCCGGTGTATATTAAAACAAATCCTAGAAATGCCACCTATGGTTTCCTCGGTATATCCCTAACAAATACAGCACTGTAACACAACCACAATGCTGCCGTCATGCTCAGCACAGTGAGCCATGCTTCTTTAGTATCATCTAAGACCTCCCACTGCCTCCAAGTCTATACATTGCATTTGATTTTGCTAAGTCCATTGCCATTGAGTAGATTGCGACTCAGAGCAACCCTCTAGGACAAGTGGAACTCCTTACAGTTCCCGAGACTGGAAATCTTGATGGGAGAAGACAGCCTCCTTCAGAGTGGCTGGTGGGTTTGAACTGCTGGTCTTAATCTACTGCACCACCAGGGCACCCTCCCTTCTCCCTACCTCCGTATATAGACGTTTCCCACCGCCATTCATGTGTTATAGAAACGGCCTTTTGTCCTCTAGACATGTCAACATTTTGAGTGCGACTGATTGTACTTCAAGGTGTCATGTATCATGCATGACCCACTGTCTTCTGTATTTCTGTCAACTGGTCATTAGATCTAGACCTTATTTAGATTCAGGTTCCAGGTTTAGTTTTGTTTTCAAGAATCCAGATGGTGGCGTGAAGCGTCATGGTTCAAGCCCACTAGCTGCTCTGATGGAAAAAGATAAGGCTTTCTGCCCCTACAAAGCTTACAGCCTCAGAAACTACACAGGGGTCGGTGTGAGTCCGAACCAACTTGACAACACAACAGAAAATGGTGGTATATGCTTTCTGTTGTATCTCATGAGGAGGCATGTGATGTCTCATTCTCATGGTTAGTATTGTTAAGATCCATTCGGCTTCTGTTAGCCTGAATCAACCTTCCTCCCAATTGCTTTAGCAACTGTTAATCATCTCCTAGATCTACTATTTCATAAAGCATTCATTTTCCATTTGTATCATCCTTAATATGCCTATTACTTAAGATTTTTCTATACAGGACTTTCTCTCACTGACTTGGATTACCCACAATGAGTCTACACAGGAATGACAAGACCCATTTATCTTCAATTCAAATATTGTGGTTTGATACCCTGGTAACCTCCAAAAATGACTAGTCAGATTTTTTTTTTTTAAGTCTTATTATGAACACTTCACTTTTTATATACTGGATTGTTTTCATTCATTACAGTCATTTTTCCCCTGCTGTGTCTTAACCCACATTGAGTTCTGGGGGTTGATGAGGTTCAGAGTTCTTAAGAGGTGGAGAAAGTTCTCTAATAAACAGGTTATTGTTGTTGGTAAGTGCCATGAGTCTATTCTGACCCATAGCAACCCTGTATACAGTTTCTGAGAAGTGGTTGGTGAGCTTAAACCACCGACCTTGTGGCTCAAACTGACTTTGCAGTCCAATGCATTAACCAACAGTGCCACACCAGGTAGAAGGGAAAAAACAATGAGTGTGGTCTCAGGAAGCTGCTACATATTTCCATGGAGGATAAGCTGGTCGACTCTGCCATGCTACTGATGTGACAGAGAAGATGATAAGTGACCACTGATTTAGCAACTGGAAGGTCAGTGATGATCTTGAAAAGATGCAATGGTGGGAATGAAAAGGTAGAGTGGGTTTAAGAACGATTGGGAGGGAAGAAATTGTAAAGGAGTATAATAGTTGTAAAGAGTTTTGCTACAAAAGGGAAGGAAAAAAAGGAGATCTACTGTAGCTGCAAAGTTAAGTGGGATCTAGAACTTCATGGTTTTTTTACCCACTGGTGCTTTTTTGTTTGTGTTGTATTTCAGTTTATTTTTTTTTTAAATAAATGCTAGATTTGCAAAAGAGTTGCAAAAATAGTACAGAAACTTCCTGTAACCCTTCACTGACCAAAATCAAATCTACTGTTGTCGATTTGATTCCGAGTGACAGAGGCCCATATTGTTGTTGTTAAGTACTGTTGAGTCGGTTCCGACTCATAGCAACCTTCTATAGGGTTTCTAAGAAGA